CCCCGGCTGCGCTTTGCATCCTTTTAAACCCCTCCAAAGAGGAGGCAGCAAATCGCAAGTAGGAGTAAGGGCAGAGAGAGGGCAGTGGCTACAGCGAAGGTTACTGGGCATGCTCAGTTCGGCTGCGCATGCTCAGTACACCCAAGGTAGGGAAACGGGAGCAGGGTTTGTTTGCGTCGCTCCGGGCGCAGGCAGCGACACCGCCCCCTTGCCGGGGCGGGTGAGGCGGAACTCAGCGCGGCCTGTAGCGAGGAGGTGGCGGTGAGTGCCCGGCCCCGGGGTGCAGGGCGGCCCCTCCCGGGACAGCCGGGCGCCCTAAGGGCTGCAAAGAGCGCTCGCTCCCCGGGCAGCCCCTAGGGCTCGTTGCGTGGGCTCCAGTGCCCCCCCCCCCCCAGCGTGTGCACGGGGGGAAAGGGCGCTGCGTGCACCGCCCCGGGTAAGCCCTTTGCCGCAGGAGCGGCTGCGGAGAAGCCCCTTAGCGCGTTGGTAGCGTGCATGGCCCGCCGAGCACTGCCCTCCGCAGCCAGGCCTTCTCCCCGTCGGGACTCGGCAGCTGCTAGCTACACATTTCCTTTGCACTACAAAGCTCCGCAGATTAAGCTCACCTTGCCCCCTGCTCGCTGATGCGTGGTTTGGCCGAGACCTGGGCATTCTTACAGTTAGTAACTGGCATTACTCCCACTGTCCTGGCTAAAGTCCACTGGGGATAATTTACCTTCTCCTTGACTTCCTTCCGCGGCGTCCATTAGATACCGTAGCATTCTTCATGCTCTGTCTGAACCCATTGTGGTATTAAACTGGCTTTGTTCCACCCACAAGAGTGGGTGATGTGATTCCCAGGAGGATATGGGATTGAGCATCATCCGAATGCATGGCAGTTTAGGGCAGGAAACGTAGACTGCTGTCTCCAGGGGGTTCAATCAATCAATGGTCTTTACAGAGCATGGTGTATGCGCCAGTGAGTTCTTCGATGGCTGCTGAGTCCAATGGGCTAGTGACAGCACCGGAGGGCACACCCACGCACGAGCAATGCTCTGAATCCAAGCAGCAGATTCTTTCCTCCTCTGACACCGGTCATCACAAAGCTTGATCCAGTCCACCTCACAATGCTTCTCTCTATCTACAAGCTGACTCCGTCAACCAGAGCGGCATTCTGCATTCCTTTCCCAGTCATCCACAGCGATTCCAAAGGATACGAAGTCCTCTTTGCAAGCATCCCAAAATCTGCGCAGTGGTCTGCCTCTCTTTCTAGACCCTTCGCGAGTTTCAGAGTACAGCACACTCTTCGGGATCCTGTAGTCCAGCACTTGCTTGACCTGTCCAAGCCACCTAAGTCTTTTCTTACTAATGAACGTTCCCGTGAATGACGTACCAGCATGATTTAACACTTCCACGTTTGTCACGCTGTCTTGCCATCTTATTCAAAGAATTTTACACATGTATCTGATATGAAGTGGGGAATATCGGCATTCCTCTGTCCAACTCGCCTGAGGGGCCTATCTGGTAAGTGTGCTCAGAGAGCACTTACCGCATGAGCCCTTACGCGCAAGTTGACACAAAACAGGGAGGGAGAGGAGTGCCTTCTTCCAACACTTTTAGCCCAGAGGTTAGGGTACTCAGCTGGGATGTAGGAGACCCCCAGTTCAAGTCTTCCCTCCAGCTGAGAGAGAAGGAAGTTGACCACCTTTTAGATGAATGCCATAATCACCGAGCTAAGGGATAGTCTCACGTGGGACTCCTTCAGTCTCTTGTTGAAGCTGTTCCACAGTAGCTAAACAATGAATGAATCATTAGGCTCCAAAGTGGTATTTGGAATCTTCCTCATGTTATTTAAAACAAGCCAAATTAGTTTGTGAGGACAAAACAGATGTTCTTTTCTAACTGAGGTTTCACATAGACTTGTTCTCCCTTGCTCCATAGGTCAGAGAGATTTGATAGATGGATAATAAAATGGCGTTGGTTCCCTATGACGACAGTGCGGTCTGGGGATTGCAGAAGTTCCATAAATCTTCATCTGTGTATCACTTTGCCAGCCACACAATCCAAATCAAACAAAACTGGAAGCAACTGGGTGTAGCAGCAGTCGTATGGGACGCGGTACGTATGATTAAAATACAAATATTTCAATTTGTGCAGAACATGTCTGTTTCAAGTCCAACTCCTAATAATACTGAGCTTTTATGTAGTGCCTTTCATCAGGACACCTCAAAACTCTTTACAAAAGGAGGCCAGTACAATTATTCCCATTTTATAGACAGGTGAAATGACATGCCCAGCAGCCTAGGAGAGCTGGCTGCAAATTTTCTGCATGAGAAGTTTTTTCCCCAATTGAAAAGTGCAAAAAAAAATCTTTTCATGGTACATTGTCAGCATGATCAAAACTTTCCATTTTGCACAGTTTTCTGCAACATTTAAAAATTGATACTTTGATCTAAATGTTCAATATTTTTAGATTTTGTTGTTGTTAGATTGCTAGTGTACTGGAACCTGTGTTTTCAGTAAGAAAATCCATTTTTTTGGTAGATGAAAAATGTTGACAATTACTGCAATAGAAAGTTTAACATTTTGAAAAAAAAACCCATGAAAGACGTTGTGGGAAATGGGGCCACTTTCAAGACTTATCACAAAGTTGTTTTCCCATTTTTTTAACCAAGTCTTAATAATAATAAAATAATACTTAGTATTTGCATAGCTCTTTTAATCTTCAAAGCACTGGACATCCACTAATCCCCACACCACCTTGATGAGATAGTTAAGTAGCGTCATGTAGTAGCTAGAGAACCCGAAGCACAGGAGTCGTCAGTGGTCGACCTTGTATTGGAATTTAGCTGTACCTGTGTTCTAGTCCTGTGCTTTGACCACTAAATCATGCCTCTCTCTCTGATCATAAATAATGAGTTTGGCAATTTAACTGCTCATGTTAATTGGAGCATATACGCTAGCACAGCTATCATTCCGTTCCTAAGGATAAGTCTGATATTGATGAGAGAATTTTCTATAGCAGATGCTCTTGCGAAGTCCTGATTTGGGTGTGGGAACTTGCTTAACAGTAGCTCACATTGGATTTAACTTGTACTTAAATAGAAGTGCTCTTAATCCATTACGCTCAACTGCTTGACCTTCACACACATTATGGAAGAGCATGCCAAGCATGTACCAAGATTAAACCGAAAGGTTTTGGAAAGTTGTAAGAAATACGATAAAGGGCAATGGTGCATCTCAGTGGTTCTGCAATTTTGCATTCATTTTTGCATCAACAAAAATCCTGCTTTTCCTTTCTTAGTGCAACTATTTCTTTTTCTGCTTCCTTCTGTTGTGTTTTGGATTTAATGAAGAAACAGTCCCATGTCATTATTTTAACCTACTTTGCAGGATTGATTGGACATTCCTCTCTGCCTCTCATCAGCCTTTGTATAACATGGATGGCAAAGTATACCTGTAGACTCGAGGTGTTTGATTGTATCTTGCAACCTTCTCTACTGGTTTCAATCAGAAATACTGTGGTCTGGCATCACTAAATTACCACCAAGTCTTAATTAGTCCTGTCTCTTGGTTCAGGCTGTCGTCCTGTGTACTTATCTGGAGATGGGAAGTATTGATCTACAAGGGCGCTCAGTGATTGAACTAGGAGCAGGAACTGGATTGCTGGGAATAGTGGCCACGTTATTGGGTAAGTTTTTCTTTAAGAAATCGGTGCTGCCGTAAAATTCACACATTAAGTGACAGGGCTGCTGTAACAGCTAAGCGATGTGACCGTTACTGTGATGTTTCCTCTGTGGCTCATTTTCCTTATTAGGCTTTAGAGCCTCCTGCATTATTTATTGTGGTGATGGTGCTACACCAGGTTTCTTCATAGTAGAACCCCCTTAAGGCTGCCTGCTGTTTCCGTGGCAGTGAGCTCAATGGCATCCCCTTCTTTTCTGTAGCTGTTCTCCCCCAGGGAATAAATGCTGTGCTTGTGTCCTTCAGCTTTATTAATACTTCACATTTTGTATACTGAGCTCCAGCAACAGATAGCAAAGCACTTTACAAAGATGCATAAACGTTATTAACCCTATTTTGCAGGCAGGGAAACTGAGGCATGGAGCAATTAAGCAACTTGCCCAAGTTCTGTCAATCACTCAGTGGCAGGGCCAGGAACTGAACTCAAGTCTCCTGATCTAGTCTGATGTCCCATCCACGGTGCTGCGCTGCCTCCCCTTTACAATGGGTGTGCATAGTGAGTCACGGCATCGCTAGACCAATAGCGGGGCCAGTCATAAGTCTGGTATCTCACAGCCCTAGCTTTGCTTCCTGCTGTATTCACTCATTGCTTATTTCAGAGTTTCATTAGACACCCTAGCGGTAGCACAGACTAAGAGTAAAGGTAGCACTGGACTCCTTTGCCTGACCACCGACAGATCTTGACAGATGCTCAATTCCACTAACATGAACTAATATTAGTTTGATTCTCGTTTGAAAAGCAACCGGTATTTGATCATTTTAAAACTAGCACCGTCTTTATCTGGGAAACTCACTCGTTCTAATTGTAATTAATTCCTGCACTGTATGTGTTAACAATACATTATTACCCCACGCCCCCCTGGGAGGCATGGATCAGCATTCACGTCGCATGCCCCCTCAGTACCCAGTCCAAGCTGGGGAGCTAATGATCCAACCAGCGGACCAAATTCAGGGATGAATCCTGGTCATGTGCCGCCTGAGGCACATTGCACATACGCTAAGAAGACTCCCCCGCTCTTACTTTTTTTTCTTACCTTCGCTGTAGCCATAGGATTTGATCCTGCAATTGGATCTGTGTAGGTGGACTTGATTGGAGCCCTAGGTGGGGATTTTCAAAAGCATTCAGTTTAGCCTAATTCTGTACCCAGTGTAGTCAATGAGAGTTTTACCATTGGCTTCATTAGGCCAATGGGGGGTTCTGCTAATTTACATCAGTGTAGAAGTGGGGTGGGAGTGGTCTGACTCTGATCCCACTGAAGTCAGTGGAGTTATGACAGTTTACCCCGGCCGAGGATCTGCTCTAGTGTGTCAATTCTTAAATTTTAAGTCCTCTTTACACCAGGGCAAAAATCAGATGAGACTTTTTTATAATCATCTCCCACCATTTATTCTGTCGTTTCCTTCAATGGGAAATTGGCTCCGTCTTTCTAAAAAGAAATAGTCATTTATTCCAAAAACGATTTTGATCTGATAGTACTATTTTTACCATTAAACATAAATAAAACTAAATATTCCAAGTGTCAGTTGACTTAAAATCAAGCATCTCAGTAAATGTTTTCATTGTTATTCAGTAATTTTGTTAACTCTTAATGGAAACGAGCAATTGTATTCCAAAAGCTGTATCGGTGGGCATCAGTTATTTGTCTTGACACTTACACTCCTTGTGCCACACAGGTGCTCATGTCACCATCACAGACAGGGAAGCCGCACTGGAATTTCTCGAGTCAAACGTTCAGGCTAACTTACCTCCCGACCTCCAGCCACGAGCTGTGGTAAAGGAACTGACTTGGGGAAGAAACTTGGGGAACTTCTTGCCAGGAAAGTTTGACTTTATCCTGGGCGCAGACATCATTTATCTGGAAGACACCTTTGCAGATCTGCTTCGGACACTGGAGCACTTGTGCTCAGAACATACTGTTATTCTGTTATCGTGTCGGATTCGCTATGAACGGGATCAGAATTTCCTGGAGATGCTGAAGGGACAGTTTTCGGTACGTGAGGTCCACTACGATCCTAGTAAGGATGTACGTGTATTCAAAGCACGAAGGAGCATTCACAAGGAAGACTTTTGACTGCATTTCTTTTCTCTAATATCAAACACTACTTGAAGGTTTGCTACTATTATTTCTACTACATATACTGTACTTGTACCAATGAGCTTAATTTCAAAGGGATCCATCCACTTATGCCACATCTGTCGCCATGGTATCTGAGCCCATTTGAAGTTTGTATGCTTCGCCCCCTCATGTGTATAAGACTCATTGTCAACATTCTCATTATCACTGAGTGAGCTTAGAAAAGGTCATTTTTAGAACTGGTTTAAACTTTTTCAGCCAAGAGACTCCTGTGAAAAATAGAGTTTAATTGAAAACAGTTGTTTTGCTGGAATATATCATTTCATGAAGGTTGTTCAGTTGTTTGACAGAAAATTACAAACAATTTTCTTGTTTCAAAATGAACATTTCCTTTTAGTTCTTGTAAATTGATTTTCAAAATATCAGATTTTGGGGTTTTCCTCCTCTTTTGTCCCCATTTTTGCCACCAAATAGAATAAATAGAATGAAGGATGTTGAGGGTTTTTCCTTTCACTTCTTCTATTTTTCCCCTCATTGTTTCTCTCTTTCCTTGCTGTAACTTTTCAAAGCTCCCTCATCTTTGAAAAGTTTGAGTGGAAAAATGTAAACTAAACGGTGTAGAGACAAGTAACTGTCCCAGGACATCCCATTGTGGCCTAGGACAGCCCAAAGGCACCCTGCCTCAGTTTCCCTCTGAGTTCTGCCAAAATAATTCAGTCATAAGCAAAGTCTTTGAAACAATATTCCTCTTCTCCTGGAGTCTGATTTGTTCAATATAATTCGACTCCCACAAAGCTTCCTTTCTACTCTTCTTCAGATTTAGGGACTGAGTCCGCCTTGTGACTGGGGCTTTAAAGTTTGGCCTCCCCAGCATGTAACTTACCTCGCAAATCTGGGATCTCACAGTCCTCCATCCTATGTGCTGGTTGACTTCTTTATCCAGCAACTCCTTAGTGTCCCCTTAGTGCCTCTCCCTTATATATTTCTGGGCTTGGCCTGACTTAGTCACATGACCAAAATCATTTTCTCACCTGGGGAGGCAAGTTAGGCTTGTCACAGGAGGACTGAGGCCCATCTCCCCTTAAAGGGCCAGCTGTAGCTATGCCATTGTAGTGCCGTAATATGGACGCTTCCTACATCAACAGAAAGTGGTAGCTAGGTCCTATGGGGTGGAGCTTTAGCCTCCCTCTTATCCTTGCTCTCCCCAACTATAGGGTGCCAGCGTGAGCCCTGGTCCTCCCACTCCCACCAGGTTCCTAGGGAGGGTGTGTGGTGTCCCTTCTGATGACCTAGCTGCATCTACTCTGGGGGGTAGGTTGACCTAACTGTGGTGCTCCAGGCATGAAATTTTTCACAACCCTGAGCGTTGTAGCTAGATCAGTCTAATTGTTCAGTGTAGACCAGGACTAAGAAAAAGGAAAAAAGTGTCCAAAAATCTGAAGCCTTGGACGCTGTTCATTTTATTGCACTCAGTAGCAAAAAGGAAAAAGTGAGGGGAAAACAAACAATAGTTAACATTTTCAAAAAACATTTCATGAAAATTTAAAAAAAAACCCTGCAAAACTGAAACAATTTTTCTTTTTTTTCTTTTTCCCCCACCGGCTATAGGAACTGTGACACTGAAGTCCTGTCAATAGCAAGATACGCCAAATAGCAGGGTGATTTTAGAGCAAGAAATTTTAGGATTCACACAGAGAGTGAACATTCCTTGGTGCACTCACGTGTGTGTGTGTGTACACATGCACAAAAAGAAGAGACATTGTGAGATGAAGACAAATGGATTTTTAAAGCCCTAGTCAGCCTTTGGGGCTCAAAGCGCGGTTATCGCATAGTGTTCTAAGCATCACCACCTCAGTTACATTATTGCCATGAAACTGCTTCTGTTTTTCTGACCTGATAATTTTTCAAATAGGTTAAGGGCTCTCAGAAAGAGGATGGTGATGAATTGTTCTCCATGTTTGCTGAAGGTAGGACAAGAAGTAATGGGCTTAATCTGCAGCAAGGGAGATTTAGGTTAGAGATTAGGAAAAACTTCCCAACTATCAGGGTAGTTAAGCTCTGGAATAGGCTTCCAAGGGAGGTCGTGGAATCCACATAATTGGAGGTTTTTAAGAACAGGTTGGACAAACACCTGCCATGGATGGTCTAGGTTTATTTGGTCCTGCCTCAATTCATAGAACTGAACTAGATGCCTCTTGAGGTCTCTTCCAGCCCTATGTTTTTGTGATTTTATGATTCTCTATCCTAATTGGTTTATGTCATCTGTTTTGACTACTATCCTCGAGAATTGCTATTTCTGGGTGGGGTTTTGTTTTTTTGTAAACAGACCTCTCAGAGTCGGGTTATTCTGTTTGTAATTTGTAATACAGCCGAGGGTCCCCATGGAATGGACCCCATCCAAAACCACCAACCAAGATCTAGTAATGGTCCATCACAGTGATGGTATAATTTACTCGGCAGGAGAGAGCCAAGAGAATACAACTGGTTGTCAAAAAATAAATAAAATAAAAGGGATTTTACTTAAACTGGAACAACCGGAACTAGATTCCACTTACCCACAATAACATTAAATAGATGAAGAATGTATATCATAAAAACATTTATAACAGGGTGTGTGTGTGTGTGTGTGTGTGTGTTATATATATATATATATATATAATAA